TTTCAATTGTGGGGGGCTTTGCTATCACACTTTGCAAACTCTGTTTTTTTTTTATTAAATTTTTTAAGATTTCCCGACATGACGTTGCGGCCTGTTAAAACACAAAATCTGTTATTTTCCTCCCATTTTTTTGAACGTTTGTGAAAATCACATCACCTTTCCACTAAGTCAAACTTGGCAGTCGAAATGAAAACTGAGTTAAAATAGTTAACTTAAAGTGAAGGTCATATTTCGGGCTTTCTTCAGATCTGAATGTTAACGAAGGTTACTGAGTTGTGTCACAGAAAAATGACCAAATTGAATAAAAATAGGCGAAATGGAGTGAAAATATTAAAAGAGCTACAAGGTTGTTAAAAGTTGAATTTCAGACCGCGGAAAAGTTAGTTTTACGTTGGATATTCGACAGACATTCGTCAAACATTTGCTCCGGTTAATTCTCTATTCCCTCAGGGAAATCCTCTGCTTCGGGTACACTGAAATCAGAGGAAGCCGCTTCAAATGCACCCTTATCATAGACTTTACGGTATAAAAAAAAAACACACAGCGAGGGAAAACGGATACATTGTGTACCGACTTCCTGTTTTCAAAATAAAACTGTAGGCCTAGAAGCTATCAAAGTAGATTTATCATATTTACAAAAAATATACATATTTAGCGATTTCATATTAAAAACAAATGGTGTATCTCATCAAACCAGTCTAGTACCATGATTTCTTATAGATTTTGTGTCAGTCCATCACAAGACCTATCCAGCAAAACTTCTAAAATCTACATCCATTATCTGACACGCTTGTCCCAATTGGGGTCACGAGGGGTGCTGGTGCCTGTCTCCAGCAGTCAATGGGCAAGAGGCGGATACACCCTGGACAGGTCGCCAGTCCATCGCAGGGCAACACAGAGACACACAGGACAAACAACCAATTTACACACACACTCACACCTAAGGAGAATTTAGAGAAGTCAATTAACCTAACAGTCATGTTTTTGGACTGTGGGAGGAAGCCGGAGTACCCGGAGAGAACCCACGTATGCTCAGGGAGAACATGCAAACTCTATGCAGAAAGACCCCGGGCCAGGAATTGAAACCTTCTTACTGCAAGGCAGCGGTGCTACCGTCTTTGCTCAGCAGCTTCGCTCGTTTTAAACCAAACAATCAGCACACAGCTCATCTAAGTATTCATGATCACACCGTGAAAGGAAGAAAACCTGCCGTTTCATTCTAGGGCATGCTTGCATTAGGGGGTCATGGAACAGCAAATATGCCATTTTCAGCCCAAACAATGTTACACACCCTATTCAGAGACCTTAAGGACCAGCACCAAATACCCTATAGAATCATTCTATCACTGCTTTAACTGTTTTTCATACTCACCCAATGTACAACGGCAGTTCCTGGTGGGTTGAAAGTGGCACACATTGCGCAACAGTTTTGTTCATCAAACTTAAAAAAAAAGTTTAAAAAGTTATTGAACTAACATCTACCTTTTTTATTTATATGTTAAATTGCCTTTAGCTGAGGCATTTAGGAGTTTAAGGGCAAGATCTCTACTTTCCTTCTCCTTTTTATGTGTTAAAGTCCATCTCTAGGAATGCTTTCATCAGGGCTTTTGCAAACTGTCAAATCCAGGTACTAACACTGATAATCGGGGGCTCATTTCCATTCTCTTTGTAATTCAAATATTTGACAATACTGTTTAGCATCAACTCAGCTTTACCTGGACATAGCTGAAGTGAGGAAAACTCTGAAGACAGTCAACCCAAGGAAGGCCCAAGGGCCTGATGACATACCTGGGCGGGTGTATAAGGAGTGTGCAGATCAGCTGGCTGGTGTCCTCACAGACATTTTTAACACCTCGCTGGACCAATCCATAGTGCCGGCATGCTTCAAGTTTGCCTCCATCATTCCGGTCCCAAAAAAGCCTCAGGTCACCTCACTAAATGATTACCAGCCTGTCCTACTGACTCCAATCATGATGTAGTGCTTCGAAAGGCTGGTTAAAGAACACATCGTCTCCAGTCTGTCGCCAACATTCGACTCGTTCCTCTTCCCTCAATTAAAGTGATTTCATCACAGCGCTGCGTGTCCCGAGC